TTTTTTTTTCTTTTTTCAGGACCACAACCTCCCGGGAGGCTCCCCTGAACATCGGCGACACTCCAGCGCCCTCAGAGGCACCCCCCCAGCCCTGACAGACCCCTGCGCAAACGCGTCAACTGCGTTCAGGGGCGTTCATTGAACGCGCGTTCACAGCGTTCAAAAACGGAACGCCAAACGCGCGGTAACGTAGTCAGCGGGGCCAAGGTGGTACTAGTAGTCCCTTTTTCTTCCCTCACTTTTCGTTTTCGCTCTTATTCTCTGAATTACTATTTACTCTTATTATTATTGTTATTGTTGTTATTATTTTTACTTTGTTTGTCTTCCTCAGTCAGGCGCGACATCGGTTATTGGGGTCATTGACGGGACCGCTGGTTTTGCTCAGTCGGCGCGACCCCTGACCTTGGGCTACGTGCCGAGGCTTGAACGACAGTCTACCTTGTCGCCCCTTTGTTTGACGTGGGCTGCTTGCCGACTCAGGCTTTCATGGTCGGCATTATAGTGGGGAGCGACTAAAACCTCGCGGGTGGTTGTCACAATAGTCGAGGACCTTGAGCACGCGCCTCCTTAGCGTGCCCGTTCGGGTTCCTACGTGTTTGGGGGATGGCGATGTTTCTCTATCCGGCTTGGTTTGACGGCAGATCAAGGGCGCCAACGTGTATGTGAGTCAGCGGGTGTTTAGCCCATGAAGCGAAGAAAACATATGGAAGGGACCATCTACGGGTGCCCAGTCCGTCGCCCGTAATATGTTGTGAGGGGTGTGAGTGTGAGCATGCCTGTCATGACCCGAAAGATGGTGAGCCGTGTCTGGGCACAGTGGAGCGAGCGCACCAGGGCGGAGGCCGCACACTTTAGTGGTCGGTCATATGGAACCCCTCCTCACTTCGGTCTCCAAAGTTTTGATTTGAATATTTTCTACTACCACCAAGATTTGCATCGGGGCCTGCTTCACCTAGGGTCGCGTTGCAGGTTTTGCAACGGGCCCGCGCCTTCCTGCTTGTTGCGACGTCGGAGCAGGGCTGGTTCATTCGGCAAGTGAGTTGTCACACACTTCTCAGTGGATATCAATCTCCATAACTACTGGCCTGCTGTTAGTATCAACCATCAACCATTGGGGTGTATGGGTTAGCGCACAGTCTAGCGTAGGGGAGAACGAACGAGAATGAGGGAGACGACAAGGCAGAAGACTGGAGGTAAGGAAGGATGGAAAGAAGAGGGAATGAATTAAGCATGAGATCGGCGCCAGATGCACGTGAAGAAAAGTGGTGGGAAAAGTGACGATAGCGGAGGAATGAGTTCGTGGTTTACTCGTTTCTTGTTGGAATCAGACCAGGGAAAATGCTAGACCTGGGGTTTGGGGGCAGGCGAGTGCAGTGGTGATGTTAGTCTTGGGAGTAGAGTAGTGTGGAGGGAGTTAGAAAATAAAATAAGTGTGCGAAAACTTTGAGAAAATGGCCATGGTGAAGGCAGAAGTTGAATACCTCGCCCGATTCTTCACGGAATTGGGCAAATTAAGATACTATACTGAGGTCTTGGGACATCGAGAATTGATTTACAATTCGGATTTTGGTTTTAGAAGGTTGTTTGGGAGCTATCAAGAATGGGAGTTGCGCGAAGGAGGGTAACGTTTCGTTTTGACATAAATATGGTTATGCATCTCCCCATGATCTAGAGAAGATTCATTCTCGTTTTACACATTAAGAGAGTAGTGGAGCAGGGCAGATCCCTTAAATGAATTGTGCCCCGAAGGTTGTCGTCCCGGTGGTTTTCGTTTGGCAGTATGGGTTACTTTTTTTCTCGTTCTTTCTATTTCAGTTTTCCATCGAATTTGGTTGTGTCAATGGCCAGGTACGTTCGGCCGTAACGCAGAGAGAGAGAGATCAGGCTTACCGTAGCCAATGCGGGACGAACCGAAAGTCGAGCTGAGGTGACAAACGGTAGGCGTTCAACACCAAGGAACTGGGCACTGCATCCGCTCATATTTTAGTGGAAGATTCAGTCTCATTCCGCACATTTTGGTGAATAGTGGAGCGACTCCATTTGTTCTACATCATGCTTATTGAGGTCGCAATCCTGGCTCTCCTCCTCTCACTCACCAGCTGTGTTCTTTTGGTTTTCTTCAACTGGGGGGAAGTCGGCCTTTCGTCAGGGTCGTGTCACTGATATATGTAGTCGGACCACTCGTTTGCTCTTCATGGCGGCATGTTTCATCCCGCGACATAGGAGTTGCGGCTCTAACCGAATCGGGCCATACGAACAGATGCATATGTAAGTTGGAGGCCATTGCAGATACGAGGTGGGGAAGCGACAGGGATATTTGCGGGGGTTTTACTTACCTAATTGAAGTGCTGATCATCCCTGAGATACGTGACTGTTTGAAAGTCTGAGAACGAATAGTCATGGATCAGACCAACATGAAAGCACTGCAAATTCGTTCTTAGTTGGTGAAATGGTTTGTTTAGTAAGTGGGAGTTGACAGATTGAGAGTTCCTTCTTGATTTTACGGAGAGGTGGTGCGCTTTTGTTCAAGAAGTGGTTTTGGTCGTAATTTTTTTTTCTCAAGACTGATGCTTTTAACGGAGGTTCGCTACTGTGGTCTTCAGCCTAAGCTGAGTGATGTTGTAGGAAGTAGTCTATTTGTATTACTGCTATTTCAAACGGCTATTATGGGTAAGTTGTTGTTTAAGCATCGACGTAAGTTGGTGCCGAAGGGACTAACTGCAATTATTTAGTTCGTCAGGCTTGATGTTGAGCACGACTATTTTGCTTCGTTGTGTTTTACTGCATTGCACGATGTCTTGCACTGCGCTTTGTTGTCGGACACCGTCACTGTGTGAATTGTTATCGCCCGGTGTGCTCTATTCGAACGCAGTCTGGCTTCCTTTAGGCTGCTTGACTATTGTTTGGACGGAGGCAGAAGCACAGTAGCTTTGGAGGAGTGTCGTTGATGCGAATTGGAGGGTCGTCAAGAGGTCGTTTACTCCACGCTCTGGCTTCAATTTGGTCATCTTATTGCGGTTTTGGTCGCCATTGTGGGACTCTCAGGCTTCTGAAGGAATCAAGGTTCTCTCACGCGAGTCTGAGTGCACCTTCTTTGGATCTAAGTGACTTGACTTCTCTCCTTCTGCCTTTCTTCTTCTCAGTCTAGTTTATTTGTTTAGAGAGGAAGGCGGCAGGCGGAATTGAAACCCGTAATCCATGCCAAGGCCTCTGTAGGAGGTTCGCCCCACCAATTGTGGAAGCTCTGCCAGAACCTAGGCGAGGTTCTGGAGACAGATAATTGCCAGGTATATTTCCTTTTACCCTGTGTAAACCCACTATACCATTATGATTACATCTCTCTAGTTTAACTTAGAAATATGTATGTGTTCCCTTATGAATTTTGTTTTCCTTTTCATGACTCAATCATATCAATGGGCAGGAACACATGTGTAAATCTCAAGTTTTCTTTTATTTTGACTGAAAGCAGACTAAGGGATGAAATGGGGAAGGTGAGAGAAAGACAGTTTTGTATGCGCTTGACCGTGTCAACCAAAGGTTGGGTATTGTTTCTAAGATAAATGGACAAGGGATATGTTTATTGGTTGTTTTTCGAATAACCGGCATTGTTTCTAAGTTGAATGACATGGTTGTTATGTTGATTTTTTTTAGTGTTTGCCTGGTTGGTTTTAGAGACCAAGAAACATTGTTTCTAAACTGAATGGTTTGGTCCATCTATTTCTTTTAGGATTTCTGACTGAAGTTGGGCTGAATGATCGAACTTTATGTTTTTGTGTGACTTAGGATAAACTGAACATTGTTTTTAAGATGAATGGTTCAGTCTATTGTTTTATTATGAGGGAGGATTTTTATGGAGGGCTAAGCATTGTTTCCAAGCCGAACGGTTTAGCCTGAAGCCACACACTAAGCACAAAAAAGTATAATTGAAAATGTTTTACTTATATTTGCATACGAACCAGTAGTTGGACATTGTTCCAAGCCGAATGGTTCAGCGTTAAGCCATATCACCAATAAGAGAAGGAAAAATAAAAAGTATAATTGGAAGTAATATGGGCAAACTAAGCATTGTTTCTAAGTTGAATGGTTCAGTCCCTTGCCCATTTTATTTTCTTTTGAAAACAAATTCATAGCGACGAGACATTGTTTATGAACTGAATGGTATAGTCATACGCCCAAAGAAGAGAGAAGTAGTTGTGCAACCTGTTCGTGTAGAATCTCAGGCATGCTTGACATTGTTTCTAATCTGAATGGTCTAGCGTCATGTCATATGTAAGATGGGTATAAGGGGTAAGCATCTGGAGGTTTAATGAACTACCTTTTGAGGAAATAACTAAGGTTTTTTGTGAGAGCACTTACTTATTATGGTATGGACTTGTTTCTGATTGAGTGTGAGTTTTACTTAGTCTAAGTGTCAGCTTGATAGGTAGTTCAAGTTGTTTTAGATGCTCACCATATGTTGGAGTTGTAGGAGTTAGTTCAATTCCTGCATTTTCTTAGTTAAGTTTATTTTATGTAGTTCAATTTTTTGCATTTTCTGGGTTAAGTTTATTTTTCTTTATTTGGTCTTTGTATAAATTTTGAAAATCTATTTTCGTTATGGGAAATGCTGTCCAATTTTTTTACAAAACCAATAAGTTAGTCAAATTTTGGTTTTTCAAAGTTCAACTTTTGTCTGATTTTTATATCTAGCTTAGTATAAATCTAGAAAGATTTTTTTTCTAAGGGGAGTGCTGCCCAAATTTTTACTAATTCGGGGAATTAGATAAAATTTAACTTTATAAAATGATGATCATTTTTAAATTTGACATTTAGCTTTGTACAAAATTTGGAATGACACTTCTCTAGAGGGAGTGCTGCGAAAATTTCTATAAATTTAAAGAGTCAGTTAAATTTTGTTTTAGCAAGAACTCAAGTCTTATGTAACGGAGAGGGAAGAAAGTAACGACCCAGCTAATTCAAAGAAATTTTCGAGAAATCTGGGATGACGGAGTACTTACCTTCCGAACGATTCAAGACTTCGATTCATATTCAGCCGTCCCACAGAAGAAGGCGGTGATTACGTGTTGTCTCCATAAG